CCTTTAGTTTGCAGTGACCTACTGATGTTTCGTTATATCCAACTAATTAGGATTCGAAACAGAAGTCCTTCTTTGGAGCCCCAAATTTCACCCAACTCACAGTGCTTGTCTGAGAGGTCAGAAATGCAACAAGAAAAACATCCAAGTAAGAAAGAAAATATAATTTGACCTCCTAATCTTAAAAATAAATAATGTTCTTTGCTCTTTTTCTTCAGTATCTTTTGCAAACAGTATGTTGGCAAAAATGTGTTGATATTTATATTTATATTTTGCTGTGGTGTTGTATTATTCTAAAGCGCACCAATGACTTCACACATGATTTTCAGAGGAGTCACTAAAAGACCAACTTACCTGGATATTAAGCTTAACATTTTGAACAACAAGCCGAAAACTTTATGTACAAACAATCAAATACATCTTTGAATTCCTGGGAAAGAAGAAAAAAGAGGAAAATGGCATGAAGTGATCACCTGCAGAGTAGTTCAAATGAGATTGGACCTTTTCAGCTTCTTTTCTATTATTGGAGCATGGGGAATAGTTCACATGTGGCAGGAAAAATGGAACAAAAATTCAGCAAATTCTGGAAATAAAAGTCACTTTGCTGTTCTGTTTCCTGAGCACCACTGTGGATTTGACATTGGTGTTGGTTATTGAAATTAAACAAAAAGTGCTCCAGAGAAATGATTCAACTGGTGTTGAATAATCACAATAAGTCACTTAAAACTAGCAGATTGGTTTCAGAGCCCGTGTTTTGTTAAAAGTAAAGCAGATGAAGTGTGGTATTGTGGGTCCATTTGCTTGTCAAGCTGACCTTCCAGCTTAAACATTTTGATCTTGGCAAATAACAAAAACAGAAGGTTATCCTTAAATTATCCCTCAGTACCGTTCCCAGAATTGTGAGGGGATTAAATGAAAGGTATATTCCTGCTGCAACATCATTTAGCAGATTAAGTTACAAGCAGCTTTTATACAGCCCAGTGAAGAGCTTATGACGGATTTAAATTACAGTTGGGTGATTAACAAGGACTGCTAAAATGGTCTGATCATTCACCCTGTGTGGAGCCAGTCAAAAGACAAAAAAAATCCAAATCCATTCCCTAAGATTCATACAGCATTCTTATTTCCACTGAGACAATAATAGTGAAAGGACAGAATTACATCTCAAACAGAGCTCAACGAGTAATGAGTTCTCATTAATAGAGGATCGGATGGGGGGACATTAAATAACACATGTCATCGCCATCAAAGAAACCTTTATTTAAACTTTTTCTCCTTGACTGAAGAGGAAATTGAAAATAAAAGGAGAGAAAATAAAACTTCACATCAGACTCCAGAAACTATTGGCTTCCAGGGGTTTAAGGGCAAAAGAATTAAATCCTCCTTGACACTACCTTGGCAGGGGTCAGGAGGAAATGGCCCGTCACCAGTGGTGGTGTGTGAAGAGGACTCAGTGAGACAGAGCACTCAGCAATTTACTGTGCATGGAGGAGCAGGAGGCCCTTAACTGTGACCAGATGGTTATGTTTTCTACCTGCTTTGTTGCAAATGTACTCATTCTTTCAAATGCAACGGAACCTTGCAGGACTTAACAAGAAAGGGTGCATTCTCAAACCCCAATGTTTAAATCTACTTTAGTTCCAAATGTAAAGTCAAGCCATCTCTTTAAGGAAAGCCAAAACCGGTAAAATTACAACCTTTTTCTGAGTTACAAGTTCATTGGTGACATTTCCCTTTGGAAAATTTAATTCAATTTTTTGCTTGTGAAACTTTTACAAATGGGATTGCATGCTTGCTTTTGTAATCCACTTTGTGTTGTTGTTGTGCATGAGATGTGCTATACAAATCAAGTTGCTTTAACAGGGAAAGAACTTCTAACAAAGTTCCAGTATTGTCAATTATTGTTGGCCAGGGTTGGACACACAAAAAAAAGAAAATATCTTAGTGTCCCCACATCCCTAGATTGGATCCAATAAACACAGAAAATGAAATGTCAAATGAAATTATAAAGCTCTAAAAACTGTCTAAAAATGTCTTCATGCTGTAACAACAATAACGTATCCAAATTTCCATGCATATTGTGACAACTTTGCATTGGGGATTAAACTGAATTCCATGTCTTCTTGCGAAACTGGCCAGTTTAATATCACATAATTGAATTATGTTTGCAATGATTCCAGCGCCGGTTTCCTGTCTATTGCTCTATTTTTGGCCTCACTAGCTGATCGTAATATATAAACTCTTGGAATTTAAACTGGAAGGACAGTTTAGGTGAGGAGAAGATTAAGCCTATTGACTTTGATGATACCCAGACTTCTATTACAAAAGATTGATGTCATCAATTTTGATTTTGGCATTATCCGTGTGGTTAAAATCTGGCATGTATGACTGTTCTATGCAATCATAAATGCTTCATCTCTCACCATAAACTTGTTAAAGGCTTACATTGTGTTTTTTCTTCCATAAACACTCACATGCCTGCTATGAGAGGAAAATAAATATACCTTGGAAGCAAAACCTTTTTTTTCCTAGATAAAGCAAAAGTTCAGGCTTGCGCAATAACACAGCAAGGTGTAATCTTTCCTGTCTCTTTTCTGACACTTTATTCACTCAAAGTACGAGGAGGAAAGGTTATGCATTCTTTACGTGTATTTATCTACCTGACTTAGCCAACTTTTAAATCAAGGTGAAAAGCCTGGAGAAGAAGTTTCAAGATCAGTTTGAAGCAAGTTAAAATGGATATTTTCATTTGAATATTTCTGGCAATAAGATATTCAGCAGGTGTTTACTGCATTATTATTCAGCAGATGTGCTCTCACCATTTTTCTTTTCTCTAATACTTTGTTCAATCCAATTATGTCACTTTAGCTCAACATTGCCCGAGGATCATATATAATCATGAATCGTCTAAAGCTAATCATTTTCTTATGTTTTATCTTTCTTTTAGTTTTCTTTCTACAGTCCCTTAGTGACAGTATTGATAGTTTATGGTATGAGAAAACCATAACTCCTGTAATATATGTATTATATGCTTCTGCTCCTGCTATTGAAATCAGCCTCTTCAGACTTTTCCGTTGCTCTGGTCTATAAATAGGTCTACCCAGCTTTGAGCCGTCATCGTAAAATGATAAGAGCGTGGGTGGAGTGAATGGTTGGGCATATGTACATGGTGTCCATGAGATTGTCATTAATGTATGTCCGGGAAGTTCAAGGGCAAAGTAAGCCAAATACGGAAAGCATGACACTACCTTAGCATTATGAAGTAGGAAAATCTTCCTTTCCTAAGTCCTTTCATGAATATTTTTACTCAATTAAGGTATTTTTTGTGCACTCTGTGATTATTTTTCTCATGACTATTTGCTCTAATCTGATTATTATACTTTTTCTGCTAACCATGCATTTTCCACCTCTGTCACATCATTCCCTTCCGTCCCCGTCATCACTAGCCTGATATGCCCATCCTCGCCCACCCGTCCTTTTTGCCATGCTCTCACAAGGTCCTGACTGCCACTCACAGTGGGATGACTGAACAAAAGAGTGTTGCAAAAGGTTAACTCGTTCCCATTGTCACTCAGCTTTTTTTTTACCCTGCTTTGAGCGTAGTGTAAGAATCTGACAACACCCATCAATCCTCCTGTCGTTGCCTGCAGATTATTTCCCTTTCTTTTCTGAAAATGAAAGTCCCCAGATCCTCTTGTGAATATTTTATTATCAGGAGCTTGGCTGTAAACAATAATTAGGAGTGTTAAATGATATCCAATTAATGTGACAGCAAGTTCAATCAGGACACAACTCAGAACAATTGTCATTATGGAATAAAAAGATCTGAAATAAACAAAAGGCACCAAGAGCTTTCACATAGGCATGACAGTGTGCTAAAACAGTGCTAAACCACTTGTAAAGATAAACTAATGTTAAGATAATTAGTGTGAGCTCAGTGTGTATATTGCCCAACAAATGTGAAATGCCATGTTTCACTGAACTTTGGAGTTACAGAGCATTGAGAACAAATTGTGAGTGATTTGCCAGTCAGATGCTTTAATTGTAACACTTTCCCCTCTCAAGCAACGGTGAATGATGATCGAGCCGGGAAGACATACCAGACATTTTCATCTCTTCTCTGCAGCAGCTAGTTAATAAAATCAATCTGGATACTTTATTCAGTTTCAAGAAATCAGTTGAAATGCTGCTTGAGAGGCTTTAGGTGCTAATTTTATAAACTGTGTGTGTGTGACCTTGTTAAGCACAAGAGCTTATGACATGGCATAATTATGGCAAGAGGCTAGAGGCAGGACATATGATCATCTTTCTGTGTATGTAAGGGGTACTATGGATAGCAATGAGTCATCAAGCCTTTACGCAACTAGGGAAGGAAGTCGACACTTTGTAACTAAATGCATGGGGACATAAACAGCTTCCGAAGGTCCCTGGGAATCTATTAGAGTCTTAATGATTCATCTTGGTAGAATACATTTTAATCACTTTTTGCATTCAACAATGTGCCGGGTCAAATTTTAATGTCTGAAAGAGATAACCTTGACTCAAATCATTTCAATGCTAATTTCCTGTTTTATGTGTGTATGTCTGCAGAATGAGGAGTCAAAATGAAGCAGGCAATACCATTACAGTCAAAAGGTCCAAGGATGAAAGAAGTGCACAAACAAGACTGTGCTCATCTTTCAAAGAGGCGAACCGAGCCGGCAATGAGTCCTGCTCTGACAACTCGATGGTTCTGTGGCTACATTTGATCATGTTCAAATGATTTTTGTTGCTCATAGTATCTTTAAGCTGCAGCTCCAACTCAATGGTTCCACCTAGCTTTTCAACTTCAGAAGACACCTTGCTTTTGAGAACAGTGTTTTGCAGGTGGTGGCACGCAAGTATGCAAACACACGCGTACATCTCCCCAACCCAGAAGCCAGTAATCGCCTTTCCAGTTATCAAGTCAGCATGTTTTCTCTGGCCCCAAAAAATTCAGAACAGGATTCACGACAGAGCAAAGGTCAGCAAACTGATTGGGCCACACAAACAAATAAGAAATGGGGAGGGGGGGGTCCCTTACCTTCCTGCACAGCCTGGAATGGGTTGTTAGGCTCGATAAGTTTCACAGAGTGGGTGATTTTCTCGCTCTGCAGAATGTCGTCGTTCAGACTCAGGTCTGATATGGCAAGTTGGAAAATCTCGTCATCTCTAACAGCGTTTTCCTCGAAAATGGCCCCTGCAGTGTAAAGATAAGTTATTTGAAGAGCTGGAACAATTTAGGAGCACAGGATGGTTTGCACGCTGCAGCTGCAATAAGTAGGCCTGTTGTAATTGAATATTCCCCCTGCTGTAGCTCTCACCAGACTATATAGAAGCTATGACAGTATTTCTCAAATGCTATAGTAAACATGACTCCTGATACGTGAATCTGTGTCTCTGGTCTCAATAATCTAGGCAACACTTTAGATTTGAGTGTAATTTGGATGTTTTCAGCACCATGGAGAGCGGTATGGCCTCTAACCACAAGTTTTTGTCTCCTGAACAGAAAAGGTTATCTACAAGTTTCGCCCAACTTAGACGTTTAATATCTTTCACGTTTTCCTGTTGCACCCCCAACCTGCTCAGCGATACAGGCTGTATGCGGGAAGGACTCTCCCTTCGTTTATCAAAAACGGGGCTATTGAGAGAGCACATTTATCATCGACACAGGTTTCAGTAAACGATAAATAAAATTAGGGTGCAACAACATTATGCGCAGCGTCAGCCAGCGTCATCTGGACGGGGTCCCTGCGCTGTATTAAGCCAGTGACTGAGCACCTGCTGCTTGCCAGACTGTTGCAGCAGAGTGTGAGCAGCACCGGCAGCAACCGGAGAGCTGCACCGAGACGAACATTCGCTCACTGTGACATTGACATTTTTATCCGAGACGACAAGGCCGGTCATTATGAGCTGCACCGTGACTGTGACAAGGGGGGGGCACACAGCAAGGCAATTATTCGATGTGGGGAAGAGGAGTCCGTAGCCTATAATCAGCAATAATTACAAAAAAATAAACGCAATGCGATGCTGAATGACGACCCCAGTTCGTTTGAACATACTGAGTTTAAAGCATCCCCACATCTCTTCAACTCTGGTTTGAAGTTTGAGTACAAAGGGGCTCTATGCCTTTGGCATCTGTAAAACGCAACTTAACCAACATTGCCTCTCTCTTGGTATTAACATTGCAGTCACGTTCCTCTGAAAGTTGAAGCTTGTAGGCTGCACAAGAGGTAGCTGCGTCTAAAAAAAGCCTCCGCAATTTGGCTATTGGACATCAATCTCTTTAAATGTTGAATGAAACAACCCTTTCTGATCACTGTAATGCGTTGAATGCAGGGCTGTAATTCACAGGCCAACAGAGCTTTGGTTTGGATCTAAAGCCTACATGAGTACGGTTATATACAGTGTAAAAGTGAAATAAAAAAAGAATGCTGGTGAATAGATCATTGTAAAGCGCAATATATTAACAGATCAGCAGTATGGGCGTTAAGAAAAGATCAACTTTTCAACTCGTTTGTGAGTCAAAGTGTTGTTAAACACAGTATGCAGGCTGAATAGATAATTTATCCCACCCTCTCGCCAGCATCTTGTGATTAAGGCAGTATGAGATGGCTGAGCTTTATTCCAGCGCCCTTTTCACTTGTCTAACAACATGTTTTAGCGGAACCTTACCAATGTGTATGATTGAGTCCGCTTTGGCCAAATTGCACTGCAATATCCACAAGGAAAGGCAGATCAGCAGCAACTCCATCTCGGGATTTCAATGAGGCGGCTCATCCAAGCCCAGCTCGGTTGTCGTATTCTGTCCAAACGGTGGAGCCAAGGGAAAAAAAGATAAAGGAGAGAAAATAATCAAAACCCAGGAAAAGAAAACAGAGCTACTATCCTCGTCCTGGCAGATTAGACCAGCGTGAAATCTCACTGAAGCGATCAAGTTTTACTCCTCTTTTCTAAAAAAAAAAGAAAAGAAAAGAAAAAAAGCCCAACACAAAGTCGATCACAGGAAGCTGGATTCAAAGGAACGATGAGAACCGATGGGACCCGTGATATGACTGAAAAGACAGGTAGCCCGGTGAGAGAGACCAGTACACCTCTCTCACTCTCGCTTCTCTCCCTGCGCTCAGGCGTCTAAAGCATGCAAAAATGCGGAGGAGGGACACCCCTTTAACTACACTTGGAAAGATCACGCTCACATACACACTCAAGAAGGAGAGAGAAAAAAAACACACCATTTAGCCCTGTCCCGATCACGTGACTGCAGAGACTTCACTCGATCCCTGGCCAGACAACCCGGGTAGAAATGTTTTGGACCTGGTGGAGAAAGACGTCGAGATCTGTGTTGGATTTAATTCCGAGTAAAAGCAGGAGAGGTCTCATTGTGAAGTGAGCTGGCATGACAAGCGCAAGGCAACAAAAAAAAAAAATAGAAAGACTCACTGATTTTTCTGAAAAGATGAAGAGAAGTCGATGGTGGTGCGATCAGTTGACTTTTCAAGTTGCTGTTTTATGCGGGGATGTGATTGAGGAAAACAGCATATCGCCACTCCGGCGGCGGAGCGCAGCTGATGTGGCAGAGAAAAGGATTTACACACCGCAATCCTTGGCAGGAGCTGATGGATGAGAAACAGGCGTGACACAAACCCCGCTGCCTGACAGAAAAGGGGGGACAGCCTGTCGGAGTTGACAGAGAAGGCTTCCAATTTTGAAAAAAAAGGATCTAACAAATGCCTCTTTGGTTGAACCTGCTGCTTGACATGTTTGATTCACCGCTTTCCGCCCCTGTAATACAGCTGTCACATCTGTGGAACTGTGGCGTATAGTGGCGATTTTTGGGGGAAAAGTTATAATGCAAAGAAACTTCCTGATGCCAGTACATCTCGTAACGCCCATCCTGAGCAGACTTCAGCAAGCAGGGATGGCAGTGACCGTCTTTCTTGACAGGGATAATCTTACAATTAAAGGATATTTCTCGTGACTGTAAAAACGGGGATATCTTTTAATTGTTTGGTTAAGTCTGTCAGAGGCACAGAGCAGAAACTTTCAGCACCAGCAGCAGTGGACAGCGCCTTCCCTCCTGTATGTGGAACAGCTGGGGCGCCAGCAGAAGAGATGGCCTCACTGCTCTTTGCATTTGTTTGTTAACTGGAGATTTGTTTCGCTGTGAGCAATCGATTTTTTTTTTTATAGGATCATTATTCGCTTTTTATTTGTTTAGCATGGAGTTAAACGCCTACAAAGTTTTTTATATGTCTAACATTGCCCCTAATGGCCACATGTGGGTAATACAGATGTTGAAGTGGATAGATCCTCCATTTTCAGGATGGCTCACATGGAGCTAAAAAGTTTAAAATACTTAACGACAGAATACTTTGTAGGTAACATTCGTAATAGTTTGTCATTCAATACTGGAAAGTGTGCAGTCTTTCAATTTAGTGTCATTCTCCTACTCATAAATATAGTGAGCAGATAGTGAACATTAACTGCTAAAGGCAGAACCTTAATGTGAGAATGAATCACTGCCATTTGATCCTAATTACTGCTCCCCAAACACATGTGAATATATAATCATATCAAGTCACTTAGAATGAATAGATTTGGGTTTAAATCCGACAAGACTTCAAAAAATAATTCCAACAGAGAAGAAATAAATCCCTTCTTATTCTAAATTTCACTGATCCAAGAAGCAAAATTATGCTGGATCAACATCAAAGTTTAAAAAGCCACAATTTAACTTTATATGGTGAATTTATGTTTTTTTTTCTACCTGCCTGCTCTGATTGGAGATGCCTTATGCACAAAAACCCATCAAAGATCACCATTATGAACTGAAAAACAAGTGTCTCAGATTTAAAGGGACACCAAACACAGTGCAAATGATACCCTAGATTCATTGATGGCAGGCTCATGACTGTGTGGATTGGCATGTGGAATCAATGTAACACGAAATAAAGGTTTTGCTGCTGGTTTAGAGCTAATTTCACATGGTACACATTTAGGCCTGTGTATCATGCTAACCATAACCCAACACAGCCTCACACTAGCATGAGATGGTAAGGGCTTCAAAACTTAAACAACATGGTGAGTTGAGGCTGCATTTCTACATCAAGTGTCGTGTTGAAGATAAAAATATCTTCTTATTTATCATTTGCATGAAACAAGACTTAATGTGTATAGTGTGGACCTTTGTATATTATATGGAAATGAAAAGAAGACTTATTTTTAATTGGATCCAGTAGATGGAAGTGGAAGTGTATGGTCTCATTGTGCCTTTGGTTCATACTTGCTGCTGCCTGGTCCAAAAACATCTGCAAGTTAAAGTGTTGGAATTGTGTTTGAATACAACTGGCTTCCATTGTGTGGTTCCTCATTAACATTCATGGGTGTCATAAATTAGTCTAGCATGTGATGTCACAGAGACTTTGGCAGTTAGGTCACACCAGCTCTCAGCAGTGAAGGTGGAATTTCACACAAATCTGAGTCGTTAATGTTTATGGCTCCGAGTAATGGACTGGAACAGAAAGACAGACTTTTGCTCCTCCTTCCTGGAGTAAGAACAGAAAGTGAATTTAAATGAAGAGAAGCTATTACAACAATTTTACCAAATCTTTGAAAAAAAATGTAGTTTTTTCTTATAAAGTGCATTGTCTCACTTTCATTTTACGGTCCTGTTTCAACTTGGCTTGGGGGCAGTGCGGACTACCTGTGAAGTAATTCTGATTTACAATATAGTAGTTGCTTGCTTCTATGTAATGTGTATTTCCCTGATTTGCAGCAGCAGTAATAGTAATGCCTGGCATTCACTGCCTCAAGCTTAGAGTACAAAGTTAGAGTTCCATTTTACTCTTTTCTATTCAATCAATAAGAAGTAGGTAATTATTTACCAGAGCCATTTTGTTTGCCGTTATCCTTGAACAGAGTCATGACTTGATATATGCCGCTTGAAAAGTCTGAGCTAAATTACTTTACTCACCTAACATGTCTATGATCCATGGAAAAAACAAGACAGAGCCAGCAGAATGCAATCAAATGTACAATATGTCAACATAATTAGTCTATTGACTGGAGCAGCGAACATACATATACTTTGTTAATAGCTTTAGAATTACAAGAAAGAAATGCACTGAGAGCAGCAGCAAGGCTCTAATCTATTATGAAATAATGACCTTCGTATGTTGGAAGGAGAGCAGTTAGAAACCGCAATCAGGTGGTCTGATTTGGCTGAGGGGTCTGTACATCTATGTGACCCTGGATGTGGTTTTAAGAAGCCCCTGCACTAATTTGGAAAAGGGTTAAGTCTGAGACAGGTTAAAAATCCATTCATGTCAAGTAGTAATGTGCAGGGAATAGCAATAGGTGTCTGCAGCACCAGAGGTGAACAAGCAAGGTTCTCTCCTCCAAATACACAGCCTGAGGTAACATTATAGATTAATCATGTTATGGTAGAATAAGCACAACCTCTATCACAGGCTTCGAATGTCAATGAGTGAATTGTTGACAATCTGTAATCTTACATTTTTCAGCTTTATGCAATGCTATACCTGAAAATATGCATATGAGATAAGAAACAAAAAATGGTTACATGAGGCAGGGAAAGGGAGGGTTCAGGAGATGAAAATGACTGAACACCTACCAGTGTCACAGTGGATTCAAAAAGTCTCAAGGCAGCTGGTAGAGTTTTCCTAAGAGGGAACAGAGGAGCCAGTCGCAGCGGCTGATACAATCTTGAGGGTTGCTTTAATACCATGCTACCTGCAAACGCAGAATTTTCAGTCAAGGACGAGGCAAGCTTTGGATATGTCGTTTCTCAGAACCATGTCTGCCTATTCAGACTGTGTTAGAAGCTCTCTACACTTCTTTTTTTACCTCTTCTTTTTTACCTCAATCTGTTCACATTTCAAATGGAAGAGTATGAGGGACACATGTTTATACAAATTTGACTATTTTCCCAAACGGTGGATCACAGAATCAACATTTTTTTCTTTTTCCATCTTCTTTTGCTGGATTTTTTCCATGCACGGCAAAACGTGAGGACAAACACATAAAAAGGCTTTGTAGTATTTACGCTGTTTTTCTCGCTGCTTTGTAACCACAATCAATTTTGTCCACAAATCTGTCTTTCTCTAGTCTGTAGATAATGGATCTACCATCGCCCTGTAATAACCAGGAGTAAATTATTTTCAAAGAATTGCACATGAAATGCACATGAAAGTTGAACACCTGACTGTAGCTTATTTTCTTTCCATCTTCCCAATGCCAGACTCAACTGGCCTAAAAATATAACATAACATTGTCAGGTGAATCGTGATTATAGTTATAGATCTGAAAGTGTCTTTACAGTGCTTAGTCTTTTACTTGATCTACAAATATCCAATTTTGGAATGTTAGTGACAGACTGCACCAGGCTTACATACAAGTCATCTACTCTGGAGCTTATTTGTCATCTTAAATAGTCTGAAATATCTTTGTCATTACAGGTCCTGTCACAATTTAACCAAGCAGGGTTTTCTTCTCTTTTCTGTTTAGCCTGCAGCAAAAGTGTCAACAATCATCCTTTTGTCCAAGCCTCCGTTGAATTTATGGAGAAATAAAGAAAAAGCTGTTCTTGACACGAATGGTTCTATTGAGTGTTTTATATTCAGTCATAGAGTTAGTTGGGTTTTTTTAAAGACACAAAAAATAGTCAATAAAAAAAGTAAAGAAAATAGTAATACATAGCAGACCTTTTCTTTATGTAGAAATGTCTACATTCCC